AGAGCTAGGCATAGGAAATGCCATCTATAGTCCAGAGAATTATGGCCTAGATGAAGAGATTTTCACTGCTGGGATGAGAAATGTTGTGCTTCAAATGGCTCCCACATCTCTCTTCGGGTGTCTAGTGGCCATTCTTTCCCCTCACTTATTGCAGCCCGTAAGCGAGGTGGCACGTACAGTAGCAGACTTAGGAGAGGCTGAAGCAATAAGAACATGGAAAGAAATAAGATCTGCTACTCACAAGAAGAATTTACAGGACCCCATGAAGGTTACGAGGACCCAGATATGGGTTGATTTAATATGTGCAGCAGTAGATGGAAGGAAATTAGATGGGAAGTCTAATAGGTTCTTAGTACAGCTGTGGCAACAGCTGAAACCAGAGCAGCAGTTCCAGCCATTAAGACCAAAGAGGCAGAGGCCAGAGACAGAGCCATGAGTCCGGCCTGTGTGTCTGCAAGACTTCCTTCAACCTCACCTGAGCCCACACAGAGAGGTGACTGGGGAACACGGTTTGACTGAGGGGAGTGTCAAGGTACCTGCCCTGAGGGACCGGGGGGGACTGGAGGCCACATGTCAAAATAGCTGTCCATTGGTCCCCAGTGAGCATACAACGTGTCCTGGCCCTAGTGGACACAGGGGCTGAATGTTCACTGATTCATGGTAACCCTGAGCAGTTCCCCGGGATCCCCACTATCATAGATGGATACACAGGGGTAAGGCTATCAGAGTGAAACAAGCCCAAATCCCTTTGGGAATAGGGCATCTATCCCCAAAAGAGTATACTGTATATATATTTCCTATCCCTGAGTATATTTTGGGGATTGATCTCCTGCAGGGTCTATGGCTGCAGACCACTGCACGTGAGTTCAGACTGAGAGCACGCGTGGTGAAGACAGTTCTGAGGGGACATGCTGGGCACCTGCCCATAGCCTTGCCTGTGCCTCTGCGGGTGACTAATAGTAAACAATACAAACTGCCTGGAGGGCATAAAGAGATTGCAGAAACTCTCCAGGAGCTGGAAAAGGTGGGTGTTATAAAGCCCACCCATAGTCCTTTCAGTTCCCCAGTGTGGCCAGTAAAAAAGCCAGATGGCTCCTGGTGTATGACTGTGGATTGCAGAGAACTGAATAAAGTCATACCCCCTGTGCATGCTGCTGTCCCCTCTATTGCAGGCCTGATGGATACCCTCAGCCAGGACCTAGGAACATACCACTATGTGGCAGATCTTGCTAATGCCTTCTTTTCCAGTGACATTGAGCAGGAAAGTCAGGAACAGTTTGCCTTCAGGTGGGAAGGATGGCAGTGGACCTCCACATCCTGCTGAGTTGGCAGGCAGGGAGGAAGAGGTGCAGTTGTCCAGAGCTGGTGCCATGGTGGGAGGCAGCCAGGGACGCAGGTGTGAGTCAGGGCTGGTCGTGCTGAAGGTGCAGCAGACCCAGGCCAGGCAGACTCAAGCGGGTGAGGGCTGTGCTGGCCTGCCAGGGTGCCCCCTGAGGACCAGCAGGGCACCAGAGGCAGCCAGCACAGGGCGGGGTAAGAGCACTTGGACTAGAAATGTAGAAAGGAGGGCATCTGGTGCTGTCAAGGCGAGGGAGGTGAGGAAGCCGGGGCTGAGGGCCGAGGTGCCAGGTGGGTCCGCTCTGTGCACGGCAAAGCTGCCAAGAAGGCAGACTGTGGTGAGCAGAGCCGGGCAGTCTCATTTCGGATCCTCAGCACTCGCAGGGACTGTCAGTGACTCTGTGGCTGGCAGTGCCCAGGAAAGGGTGCAGAGCATGTGTTTCAGGGGTGCTATGGGCTGGGGAAGAAGGGAAAAACCACAACCTGAATGCAGGCAAGGGGGCACCTAGTTCACCCCCAGTTCAGGGAGCACCCTGGACAAGTGGGAGGAAAATGGGCAGGAAGGGAAATAAAAGCTGGGTGAGCAAACTCCATGAGAACGAGCCCAGTGCATCAGAATCACCCGGACTAATTCTGAGCAACAGATGCCCAGGCCCACCCCCTGCTCCTGGGAGCCAGGCGGCCAGGGAAGCACCGAGTTAAAGAAGGTGATGAAGAAGCCAAACTGTCACTGTTTGCAGATGACATGATATTGTACATAAAAAACCCTAAAGAATCCATTCCAAAACTCTTAGAATAGCTGAATTCAGCAAAGTTGCAGGATACAAAATTAATACACAGATATCTGTGGCATTCCTATACACTAACAATGAGCTAGCAGAAAGAGAAATCAGGAAAACAACTCCATTCTCAACTGCATCAAAAAGAATAAAATACCTAGGAATAAACCTAACCAAGGAAGTGAAAGACCTATACTCTGAAAACTACAAGACACTCTTAAGAGAAATTAAAGAGGACACCAATAAATGCAAATTCATCCCATGCTCTTACGTAGGAAGAATTACTATTGTCAAAATGGCCATCCTGCCTAAAGCAATTTACAGATTCAATGCAATCCCTATCAAAATACCAACAGCATTCCTCAATGAACTGTAACCAATAATTCTAAAATTCATATGAAACCACCAAAGACCCCGAATAGCCAAAGCAATCCTGAGAAGGAAGAATACAGTGGCGGGGGGGGGGGATCTCACTTCTCAACTTGACGCTCTACTACAAAGCCACAGCAATCAAGACAATTTGGTACCGGCACAAGAACAGATCCACAGACCAGTGGAACAGAATAGAGACTCCAGACATTAACCCAAACATATGTGGTCATTTAATATATGATAAAGGAGCCATGGACATACAATGGGGAAATGACAGCCTCTTCAACAGCTGGTGTTG